ATAGAATGAAATGGAAAGAAAGACATAAAAATGAATAAAATGTTAGCATTAAAATCCCTAATATTCCATACATATGTTTTGAAGAATGGTTCATCTGTCTTTCCAACTGGAAAGGAATGAAATAAAAGGATGAAGAGGAGTGCAGTGTGATCAAACAGTGGAATCGGATGGATGCAAAGAAATGGAAGAGTGGAACAAACCGGAAGAGGTGGAGAAGAACGGAATGGGAATAGAAGTGTGGAGGATCTGAGTGGAATGGAATAAAATTAAATGCAGTGAAAGATAAACAGATGGAGCAAAGTGGTAGGGAAAGACAAATGGAGAAAAGTTAAGTGGGTAGAAGGGAAATGGGTGGAGTGGAAATAAATTCAGTGGAAACAGAACGGAGTGAAATTGAGGGCGCTAAACAGCCATGAATGACATTAGCTAGAAAAACGACAAGATGGATGTGGGTAGAATGGGACTGAAAATACTTTCCGTGGGAAATTTCATCCTACAGACTCCTCGGCACAGAGGCAAAGTGCAGATCGGTAGCAACCTCCCACATGTCCTGAGACTCAGGGTGGCATAAAAGTACCTGGTAGTTTGGCTCCCCGCTTTCTTCTGGTAGAGAGGGGCCCTGTGGAGGCACCGGGCCTCTGGGGAGTGCATTCATGGGATGAACACCAAAGTCTCCTGGGATTGCTGCAGGTGGTACTCTCTGCAAATGAGCAGAGGAAACAGGTGGGCCCACAAGTGTAGCCTGCCCAGAAGATGCTACCTGACACCCACAGAGAGGACCGGGTCCACCCAGGTTCTCTCAGAGAATCAGAAATGGGGGTAAGACTAGGACCCAGGCCCAGTGCTGGCCCAGAGTTCATTCCTGTCTCTTGCTGGCTTCATAATTTTACTCTCGACTCCTCCCGCCATGCTGGGCCAGCACCACCTCACTGAAAGCCAATTCCAAGCCCTGGAGGTGGAAGGAACAAAATGGGAGCCAGAGGCCTGGCGTCTGAGCCAGATTCCTGTGAAGCCCTGGGCCACTTTCTCCCCACCCCTCACCCTGCAATGCACAGTGAAAGGTCCAGATAAGGTGGTCTCCTTGTCTGGTGAAACATGCGATCCCCGGGCATATTTCCTCTGAAGCAGGGCCAACATACCTCATATAACTCCTCTGGAGATGCTGACTGGAACGTCTGGGGAAATACAAAGTTGTAAAGAAGTTCTGGGGCTGGGATGGAGCCACCCACAGAAATTCTCAGAAATAGTCTTAGCCTCAAAAGTAGGTACAGCCCTTCAGATTCCCAGTGGGGCTCAAGGCGAAGCAGTGTCATGTTGAAATCCAAGAATCCCAGGGGAAGACATGGAGAGAAGGAGGTTGGGGGTAGAGCTCACAGAGCTGACAGGAACGAGCAAAGAGCCCTGAGTCAGCACCCTCCCTCCACTTCTGAGCCAGGGAAGCTCTTGAGGTCCTCAGAGAAGGTGCCTCTGGGGAGGAGAGTGAGCTCACCCACCTCACTGACTCTGGTATGTTCCTGGAACTCAGGTATTCTCTCATTAAAAGGCCTCAGCCAGCCTAGAGAAAGCAAACCCCAGCCCAGGGACTGAGTTAGAAAGAAACAGAGGAACGGACTGCTTATCCTCAGGAAATAAGTAGCAAAAAACCTCCTCCCTCCCCATCATATCTCTAGTGAGCTTAACCTTAGAATGTCTTGGGAATGAAGTTCTAGATTACCTCAGGCTGTCTGATGACATGGATGAGGAGAGAAAGCCAAGTCTCAGCCCCAATTCTGCCCAGGGGTCCTGTGCAGCCGGCCCAGGGTTAGTCCTTTATCCCCCTCCCCTGGCCTTGGTTTCCCATCTGTAAGATTAAACTGAGCTGGACCATCTCTATGGGCCTCTCCGTACCATGAGGTTCATCCTTTTAGAATCCGAGACTCAGAGATGGCAAAAATGCCTCCATTCCCCTTTGGTTGGCCCCACCCACCAGCATTTGAGGCACTGTGCCGAGGTGAATTGTAAGATTGGGCTTGGATTTACAGGGAAGGGCTCTGGCAATGGACTTGCTCTGTCTACAGCAATCCAGTGACAGCGTTTTCTGAGGCTGAGAGAACGCCACCACACTGTCCTTTTCTCACAGCTTCTGAAACAGGTGAAACCCACCAGAATTCTTTTTTTTTTTTTTTGGTTTTACTCCGGTACCGGGAATCGAACTCAAGACCTTGAGCTTGCCAGGCAGGCACTGTGTCACTGAGCTAAATCCCCAGCCCCCACCAGAATTCTTGATGCCAGTCTCATCTGTATTCCCCATGGGGACACAGGGGACCTGGGGCTCAGGGAGCTGTGACCGGGCCTGCCCACAATCAAACAGTAGTTTGGTGGCAAATCTGGGAGGAGAGGACTGGGCGTCCACCGCAGCTCTTCCCCAGCCCTCATCACTGCCCTGAGCATCAGCCATGGGCTCACTTACCCGAAACAGACTTTGTAAAGCTCTCCTTCCCAAAGGTAGGATGCGAGGCTGTTGGCATGGGGTCATCTGCTAGTATCCTTGAGAGCCTGAAATCCCAAAGCCTTCTTATTCTTTGCTGAGTTATTACTTCAAGTGAATTATCAGTAAGCACGTGGCTAGTTCTCGCCCATCCGCACAGGTTCTGTCCTTGTTCCAGACCTTCTGGGACAATGCTCCCAAATACTGTGAATTTCCCCCGTGCCAGACACCGCTCAGCACCATGGTCAGCAGCCCTCTTGCCAGGTGGCCCCCTGCTGGCCGCATCCCATCCCCTTCCCCCTACAGCATTACCAGCCAGCCTTCCAGCTGAGATAGCCCAGTCCTGCCACCAGAGCAACGACAACCAGGACTCCAATGACGATGCCAGCGATGGCTCCCCCGGATGGGGAGGATGACTGGGGACCTGGGCAAAGAGAGAATCAAGACCCAGGCCTGACAGCCTCGTTCCCGCTGCCAGCGCCATCCCTAAACTTGTAGCTTTTTCCCTGCAGTACTGGGGATTGAACCCAGGGCCTTAACACTGAGCTACATCCCTGGCACCCCCACCTTTTAAAATTTCTTTTTTTTTTTTTCTTTTTGGTTTTGGTTTTTCTCCAGTACCGGGAACCGAACTCACGACCTTGCGCATGCCAGGCAGGTGCTTTGCCGCCGAGCTAAATCCCCAGCCCCCACCTTTTAAAATTTTGAGACAGGATCTCCTTAAGCTGTCCAGGTTGGGCTCAAACTTGTGATCTTCCTGCCTCAGCCTCCCAGAGTGCTGGCATTACAGGCATGCCCCAGGAAGCCCAGTTTGTGGTTTTATCTATACCGATATTTTATGAGTACTGGTTTTCAAGTTGCTGGGAAGCAGCAGTTCATTAATAACACTATTTCTGGAGTAAACTGACCTGCATTCATATCTCAGCTGTGTGACTTTGGGCATGCTACTTAACCTGTCTGTGTTCCAATTGTTTTTTTTTTCTGTAAAATAGGAGCAAGCGTTCCTACTTTAAAGGGTTGCTAAAATGATTAAACATATATGTATTCATGTGCAATATATGTCATGTTCAAAGAGATAGAGACAGAGATATGGATATAGATAAAGTGTTTGTGCCCACGGAAGGTGACTGGCAAATATGTTGGCCAGGATGGACAGCGCAGATTCAGATAATGGATCAGGGCCTTCAACATGCCCCTCCTGTGAACCACGGTAAAGGGCTTTGGCAACCAAAAACCTGGATGCCACTCAGAATCCCTCACTCCCTGAAGCCGTGTGACCCTGGACAAGTGAATCCATCTCTTCAGGTGCAAACTGAGACAAGCTGAGCCTGTGATGACATCTTGTGAAAATGAGATGTGATCACAGATGTTCATTCCTGGCACATAGCAACTGGTCCCTAATGGCAGTTGTTCTTGAATTCCACTTTTGCCTAACCTTTCTCAAAAGGTGAAGCACAGCCATTAGGATGAAGACGGCAGTCGTGAGGGTTGGGTGTGAGGAAGGGGGTCTTCTTTTGAGGGTCAAGAAAGGACTTCCTGTGAGGCCTCTGGAGTTTAGACTTATTCTCCAAGTTTCCCTTTCTTTATATGTCAAACAAACATAGTTTGATATAATCCTGTAGACCTCAGAGGGGCCCAAAGATTAAATGAGTTCATGCATAAAAGTACCAGCAAAGAGCCTGGCACATATTAGGTGCTTGATAAAAGATGATGGCCAGCCAGGCATACTGGTGCACACCTATAATCCCAGCTGCTTGGGAGGCTGAGGCAGGAGGATGGCAAGTTTGAAGTCAATCTGTGCAGCTTAGACTTAGTGAGACCCTGTCTCAAAATAAAAAGGGGCTGGGGATGTAGCTCAGTGGTAGAGCACTTGCCTAGCAAACGTGAAGCCCTGGGTTCCACCTTTAATTTTAGAAAACTTAAAAATAAAGTAGAAGGTACTATCTGGCAAGCTCTAAGCGCCTTGAGCCCTCTGTACATGATCTCTTTCAAACTCTGCAATATTGCCACAAACACCAACCACACTCACTAACTCGCAGCTTCCTCCTCACAGCCTGTTTCACTCATCAAACCCTCTGCCCAAGACCAGAGGGCTGATCTGAGGACTCACAGAGGTGATTTGAGAAGCCACCTCGGGTCCTAAGCTCAGTGGGTGACCAAGACCACTGCTATAAGTGACTGTCACCAATCTTGTGGTCAGGCACCAGCGACAAGACCAGAGTCCCTAGGTCTCAGTCCCTCCCCCTGCAGAGTGGAGATACCTGTGGGGTCACCCCAGAACTGGCTGACAGACAGAACCCAAAAGAGAGAAAACCCATGAAGTGCTTATTGGTGTATACATGGGAGGCTTGGCTCAGGCATGTGGGACAGACTCAGGAAAGAATAATCTTGTTTAACAAACATGATATGCCAGGAACAGCTCTGAGAACTTCATAAATGTTAATTAATCCTCAACAACCTTAAAAATAGGCACAATTACTATGTTTGTTTTATAGATAATCAGAGGCCCAGAGAGGTTGAGGAACTTGTCCAAGGTCACACAGCTGATAAGCACTAAAGCCAGGATGTGGATCGTGATAAACAGTAATACTATGCTGCCCTCTCAGGAACTCAGTGCAAAAGTACAGGGAATCCTTGCAAGTTGCAGCCAGTGACTCTAGCAGCTCAAGAGCTGTGACTTGTCTTTCTCAGTAACTTGGAAAGGCAGGTATCACAAACTTCTGTTTTTCTTGGTTTTTTTCTGGTATTGGGGGTTGAACCCAGGGCTTTTGTGCTGAGTTACATCCTTAACCCCTTTGTATTTTTATTTATTTTTTGTTTCGACACAAAGCCTCGCTATGTAGCCCAGGCTGGCCTTGAACTCGCAGGAATTCTCCTGCCTCAGCCTCCCAAGTGCTGGCATTATAGGCATGTATCACTGTACCGAGTTTGTTGTTGTTGCTGTTTTTTGAAACGAAATCTCACCCAGTTGCCCTTGCTGGGCTTGAACTTGTGATCCTCCCATCTCAGTTGCCCAAAGTGCTGGGATTTACAGGTGTGTACCACCATGCCAGCACTGTAAACCTCATTTATAGGAAAGCAAACTGAGGCTCAGCACAGCCTGGAGTTTGCCAAGGTGCACAGCAGGAAGGCGGTAAGAGGGCCTGAGCATTAGGGGTGAGGATTCTGTGGCTCTAGACTGGGATCTGACCTGCACAGTCCATGTACTGTCACACTCAGGCCCCTGGCACAGGGAGGCTGGGTGGCTGAGCTGGCATCGGAAAAGGCCACTTGGAACCCAGGGGAAGGTGCACCCCGAGACTCACCTACCACGCTGACCAGGACAGAGGCTGAGAGGACCAGGCCGGTCAGAGGGTTGAAGGCTGTGCAGTTGCAGATGCCCTTGTGCTCCCAGGTCACAGCATTGATGACCAGCTGTCCCCCCACAGACTCGCCACCGCGGTGCTCACAGCTCCAGCGATACTGGGCGCCTGGCTGGGACTCAGCCCAACACTGTAGGGTCAGGTTAGAGTCGAGCTTCACCTCCACGGTGCTGAGCGACCCGGACGTGGTGTCCCTGGTGATGCTCACATGGTCAGGGCCATCTGCAGGCAGAGCCAGAGTCATGCACCCCATACACTCACACCCGCTTTTGCCCCCTCTGCTTCCACTGTGCATGTTTTGTTTTTTCACTTGTTTATATGTTTGTTTGTCCCTTCTCCACTGGAACGAAGGCAATTCCAGTCAGCAGCAGGAAAACAAAGGCTCTGCTACCCGATTCCCTAAGTTTCCCAGGCTGGGTTTGAATTTGCAATCCTCCTGCCTCAGCCTCCCAGAACTGCCCTCCCCTCCTTCAGTGTCTGCACAAACATTACCTTCTAAAAATTTTAGCTAGCTGTCCCTCAGACAAAGGACTTCTATCTAGGACATATAAAGAATTTAACAAAATCAGGCCCCCCAAATTCAAAGACCCAATCCAAAAATGGGCATCTGAGATGAATGCACATTTCTCAAATGAAGAAATACTAATGGCGAATAAATACATGAAAAAATGTTCAGTATCATTGGTCATTTCAGAAATGCAAATTAAAACAACACTGAGATTCCATCTTACCCCAGAAAGAATGGCTATCATCAAGAAATCAACCAATAACAAATGCTGGAGAGATTGTGGGGAGAAAGGAACCCTTCTCCACGGCTGGTGTGAGTGTACACTGGTGAAACCACTGTGGTAATCAGTGTGGAGATTCCTCACAAAACTGGGATTGGAAGTCCCATTTAACCCAGCTATTCCTCTTCTGGGTATTTTCCCAGAAGAATTAAAAACATCATACCACAGCAATATAAGTTCACCCATGCTTATAGCAGCACAATTTGTTATAGCTAAATCTTGGAAACAACTCAAATGCCCATCCACTTAGGAATGGATAAAAAAGATGTGGTATTTTAATACAGTGGAGTATTACTCAGCTATAAAGAAGATAAACTTGAGACTTTTGTAGATAAATGGATGCAATGAGAGACCATACTCCTAAGTGAAATAAATAAGACCCACATCTGTAAACATCATATTGTCTCCCTGGTGTAGGAACCTGAAAGAATAAGTAAAATTCAAAATGTACAATGGATGATAGGAAAGGGAAAGAAATTGCTTAAAGGAAGGAAAAACTGAGATGAGGGAAAGAAGAAAAAAAAAGGAAGGTAAAACAAATAATATATATGTGATAACTGTACTGCTGATGTCTGATGGTATACTGAAAAGAACAGTTAATGCTTAAAATTTTTCATGTTCTAACCAATTTTGCATGCTTGTATCTGGTAACCTGAGCAACTGATTTGAAGACAACAATGCAATGGAACAACCATGAGGAACTCCTACCATCTTGTCTAGTGAAACTCTGTATTATCTCTAATGTTTTATCTAATAATTATTTTTTATTCTCTTTAATGATTTGAACAATCTTCCATTCTTACATCCGGTAATCTGAGCAACGTAGTTGAAGATAACAATATGTAATATAATAACCGCTGTTAATTCCTATCATTTTTGTCTTGAAACCCTGTATCACTTTTAATGTTATTGTTTTGCTTTGTTTATGTTTGTGATGCTGGGATGTTGCTTTTTTTTTTTTTTTTTTTTTTTTTTTTTCTTTTTCTTTTTCTCATTTACTGCTCTCTTTAAAATTTAAAAACAAAACAAAACATTACCTTCTCAGGAAACCCTGGGCCCTGGCTAAGGCGACCACACCTTCCCCCTCCGGGTACCCTCACCCCCTGCCATGCCTCACAGTTCTCCATATGGCTCATCTCCTTAACCTGTCATTCTGTGTCTCTCCTGCCATGTGCTTACAGCCTGTCTGCTCCACCACAAAAGAAGCCCCCAAGGGCAGGCCCCAGGTCACGTTCATACCTGGCCGTGGCAGGCGCTCGGTAACGGCAGGATAAATGATCAGAAAAAGAACCTGAAGAGAGATGAGAGAGGGAGAAGGAAGAGCAGCTCCAGAACCCAGCGACTCACAGCCGATGGTCAGCTCGAAGGGGTCACTCTGCGCCTGCGCGGCCTCGGTCTGGATCTCACACGCATAGGGGCCCGTGTCGTTCCGCCGGAGGCTAAGGATGACCAGGGTGCTGTTGTCGGCCGACAGCTCCAGGCGCTCACTGGGCAGGAGGGGCTGACCCCCAACGAACCAGCGGATGCTGACCCCCTCATGGGCGGTCTGGCAGGTTAGGGTTGCAGAGCTGGTGTTCTCCACTAAATCCAGGCTCAGGGAAATCACTTCAGGCTTGACTAGATTTTCTAGAGACACAGGGAGATACAGGGCCGGGTTCAGGGACGCTGCCCAGCCTGCTGCCCATGCGCCCTACGGGGTTTCTCAGGGATGACCCTGTGTGTGCTGCGGGCTGTGTGTGCTTCCGGTAGGACTGTGTGGTGTGTGTGATGTGTGGATGTCTTTTGTGGGTGAGTGCGTGTTGTGTAATGATAGTGTGAATATGTTACGGGTTTTGTGTGGATGAAGAGTGTGCTGTGTACATGATTTGTGTATTTTATATACGCTATATGTGTTTTGAAATGTGAGGTCGTAGGTGGTACACATAGTCATGTGCGCTTTGTGTGCGAGTGTGTTACACACGTCTGTATTTTCTGTACATGCATGTATGTTCTGTGTCTGTGGTATTGTATGTGTAATATGTATTGTGTGCTATCTTATATGCTTTGCTTATGACTTGCTGTGTGTGGTACGTGTATCCATTTTATGTGTCTATTTTTGTCAGTTGTATATTATATAGGTGGAACTGTTGAATGTGTGGCATATATTTTCTGTGTAGCATTTCTTAAGTGTCTATGATATTGATTGATTGTGATGTCGGATGGATGTTAAGTGTCTGTGGTATGTGTGTGTGTTCTGCGTCTGTTGTGAGCATGTCATGAATATATATGCTTTATGTGAGAGCATTTCGTGTGTCTATGGTATGATTTGTAGTGTAATGTATGTGAGATATGTGTGTCTGTGTTCTGCTGTCAGATGTATTATATGTGTGTCATGAATATGTGAGTGTATAGGGTCTATGTGTTGTGAGTTTGAGTGTACAGTGTGTAAGTATTGTGTGTCCCTGATGTGTTAATGCTTTGTGTTGAGTGTGTTGGGTCTGCTGTGTGCCTGTTATATGGATTTGTGTTGTGTTATGTTCCAAATGTACAAGTGTGCTGTGCATGTGTGGTTATTTGTTTGTGTGTCGCTCTATGTGTGTGCAGTGTGGGAGTGTTGTGTTAGTGTTTATAAGTACAGATAGTTGGCCCTCTGGCTTCCAGAGAATCAGCCCATGGGCACCGTGGTGAGCCTGCAGTCTTGCGAAGAATGTGCCAAGCCAGATGCCAAGTCCTTCCCCAAGGTCAGTGCCCGCTTAGCCACCAGCCAAATAGGAAATCCCTGCTCCTCCTCTGGGTCCTCCTCAGATGCTGGGCTGTTGGTGTAGCTTAGTGGCTCTTTATATTTTTCAGAGTCCCAGTGCCCCCTGAGAATCTGATGGCAATCACTGACCCTTTCTCTACAACACAGTGTGAACATTTCATGCGCAACTTGGACACCCGTCCAGGGGTCACAGAATGTCCAAAAGCCCGGGATGAATCTCCTGGTCCTTTGGGACATGGCAGCCTCTGATTCTGAGAGGAAGCTGGAGAGGAAACCCGGAGGAAGACTCACCATGGACTCGGACTTTAAGAGCGCCCATCTGGGACAGGCTGGTGGCACTGTTGGACACCAGGCACTGGTAGGTGCCCTCGTCTTTCTTGGACACTGCAGGGATGGTAAACGTTCTCGTGGTGGGAGGCGGGAGAGAGTCATTGGGGAGATACCAGCTATAGGTGGCAGGGGGGTGACTCTGTGTTTCCACCTGGAATTTCACAGTGGAACCCTCCATCACCTCAACTACCTCCCCGATGAGGACACCCGAATCCACCTCGATCTCAACAGGGTCAGGACCATCTGGAGGACAAGAACAATCACAGTAGTGACAATAGCATCAGCAACAGCTCTTTTAAGAGGGCTTTGGGAGTCAGTAAACACTGTATTTCCCTCCTCCCCACTCAGATTCTAGGTCAACTGCGAAGGAGGTTAAATGTCAGCCCTGTTCCCGGGTGAGTTGGAAGACACATCTAAAGTATGCCAGCTCCTTGCCCACCCTCCCCAGGCAAGAATGTGGATCAAAAACAGCTGAGGTTTGGGCTATCAGCTTTAGATCTGTTCATTGGATGTTCTCGGTAGAATCAGAGCAGAGATGTCAAACAGTTATATATCTGGAATTCAAAGACAGACAAGACTGGGTTTGGATGGGATTCACAGCTATGAGACTGACCAAGACGCCAAGGAAGTGGTTGGAGAGGAGAGAAGGAGACTCACAGTGCACATCCAGCGGGGTGATGTCGCTGCTCTGAATCTCTGAGGTACCCCAGACTTCACACTGGTAGGACCCTGCATCCTCCCGCTGGACAGGGTGGATGGTGAGACTCCTGCCATCTGCAGACAGCTGCATGCGCTCATTCAACACAAGAGGGATGTTGTTAAAGACCCACTTGATGAAGACATCGACATCCGTGGTGCCACAGTAGAAGGTCACCACTCCCGTGTGCTCTATGACAGTGCCCTGGCTGACTGAAATGGTGGGCTTGACCAGCAGTCCTGCAAAGGAAAAAAGCAAGAGAGGGAATCAGCAGCAGAGACATGGATAGAAGATGAACAAGATACAGTCAAAAAGGGATCCAGAGAGACAGGAAGAGACTAGAATGGCCAGAAGACACTCTGGAGCTGGAATGCCTGGGCTCAAAGGTCAGACCTACTGCTTGTTCTAGGTGATCTTGTGAAACTTCCTTCCCCACTCAAGGTCCCCTGTGCAAGTAAAACAGAGGGTCTATGAGAAGGCCTTGAGAAGGGGTCAATTAATATCACCTTCAAAGAGGATCATGTTTACCACAAAGATACCAGCGAGTGCCCCCTACCCACTTTGCAGCCATCCTTCCCTCCCACTGCCACAGCAGCTACAGTCCACCCCTTTGCTCCTATCCCCAGTACAGCTGACCGCACCAATCATTGTCAGGCCTTGACTGAGCCAATCAGGTTCATCCTACTGGGTCTTAGGGTATGGAACCCCGATAGATGGTAGATCTCTGGGGAGGCAGAGATCAGAATAACAGGCTGTTTTTCTGTGTCCACCCTCTGAATCTTCCACAAGTCTGGAGTGCTCAGGGGTCCCAAACGCAGATGAGTATCCTCACTTTGGGTGTTAGGTGAGCTGGCCTGCGGGGAAAGCTGGGCTGCAGCTGGAAGATTCCATAAGGTCCAAAGTGAGGCTGGAAGGAAAGAGAAGCAGTGTTCAGGGAGGCGCAGGTGAGTTGGGGTGAATTAGGATGGTCAGTGATGGTTTTCAGAAGTGGAGAGAGATCTGAGGTAACAGATGTGGCATTCCATCCTCAAGACTTGTCCTGTCCACCACTTATGGCCATGTGACCTGGGGTGTGTCTTTATTCCTACTGAATCTCAATTCCCTCAGTTGTAAAATGGGCCTAAGATCACCTTCATCCTAGGGTTGGTGGGTGGGTAATAAATATTGGCCGCTTCAACTGGGCAGTAGTCACTGGGTACCCTTCAGGCATTTCTGCCCTACTGGAGATGCAAGACAGTTCTCCCCAACCCACATCAAAGGAAACAGATGGTCAGAGAGGCCAAGACCCCATAAAAAAAAAAGGGCAGGAGCTGACTTTGAACCTGGCCTTCCCGAAGACTATACTACCAACAGGGTGTGATTCTTCCCATCAACCCAGGGATGGGCACAGAGCCAAACCTGCTAAACAGGGACTTTCAGTGGGGGAGATTATCCTTGCTTACTTCCTCAGGTTTGTTCTCAGGAGATTTGCTGTGCGTGCGATGGGAAGGAAAGGGGAAGAAGGCATAGTTCCCATTTTCCTGTGCGGTCATTCTGCACTCAATCGTGGAGGCTGGACGTGGGTGAGTGGGGAACAAATCCCAGCAGCCGTGTTTATGTGCAGCTGAGCTGGTCACCCCTGATCTCTCTGTAACCCAATCCAGAGAAGCCACCACACACCTCTCTACCCCTCAAAGGACTCCCACTTGGGCCAAGCCCAGCCCCATTATATTTCCTGCCAGTTAGCGGTGTAGGGCAGTGTCTCCCTGGAGTCTGGGAGCAAACATGGATCTTCACATTTACTGGCCCCATGGTCATGGCAAGAACTTTCTCTCTGTGAGCTTCCATATCTCCAACCGCTAATGGAAACAACAGGAGAACTTAGGTCACTGGGTTGTTGTGAGGGACGAGTGACACATCAGATGTGACACCTTAAAATGCCTCTCAGTCAGGGCTCAGTCACTGGGACTATGGTGGTGGCAGCAGTGGTGGCATCTGTATTTCTCCTTCTCCAGTCTTGCTGGTAGTCAGGGCCACCCTCTAAGCTTGGAGCAACAGTCTGGGTTTGACCCATAGCTTTGTCACCTATTTGAGCAAATGATGTCCTCAGAATCTGTTTCCCCATTTGTAGACTGTTACGGTTTGTGTCTGGATGTCCCCCCAAAGCCTTGTGCAGTCATGGGGGGCAGGCTTTTTGGAGGTGGCTGAATCTAGAGTTTGTGGTTGGCTCGCTGTCTAGTGCTGGGATTGGGGGTGAGTGCTACACCTGCCCTAGGGCAGGTAGCCTGCATACAATACAAGGAGGGGGAGACTTACTCTCCAGTCCTCCTCTCTTGCTGCTTTTGCTGTCTTCCACCGCCATGAACAGTTGCCCCTCTGCCATGTGCCACCCTACACTGGAGCGAGCCAATCATGGACTAAAATCTCCACAAACTGTGAGCTAAGTGAAGCTTTTCCCCTTTAACTTTGGGTGTTAGTTATTTTCTCTCAGCAACGAGAAAGGTAACTAAGACAAAGACTGAGAGTAAAAATTGTTCCAGCCTCAAATAACTGTTATAAGGAGAAATGGAATAACATGAAAGACAGATCCCTGGCATGGCAGGTCTCATCATCAGACCTGCCTGGATGGGAGCCGCCTCCTCCAGGCCCCTGCCTGGGCCCTGCCCTGCTTTTTCTTCCCCTGAGGCCTTGACTTCCATCCACTAGGCAGAGGCCAACCTTGCAGAGAAATAGTGCAGACACAGCTGATAACCCTCGGCCTCCAGGAGGACCTTGGAGTCTGCAGCTATCCACTCAACCAGGAAGCTCCAGCCCAGACAGCCGGAGCTGTCTCGGGCCACACAGCAAGGCTGGGTTGAGCTCACCTCTCCCCAGGGCCAAGTGCAAATTCAGTCCTTCCCCTGCAAAGTGCCTTTCTTATAAGACATTCTAGTTCCTCCCTTTTGTTCAGATGTTCTTGAGGCATGGATTTCATATCCATCCCATCCTGATGGGTGGACGACTCGGGGTCAGCACGTCTTCCCTCTGCCTGCCTCACTCCTGTCCGTCTGTCATCTGTCAGTCTGCTGTGCTCCAGCTTGTCTCTCTCTCCTCCTTCCCTTCTAATCTACTTCTGAGTGACTTGGTGCTGTTTTCATGCTGCCTCTGTGCCCTCTCTCTCCCTCTGTCTTCTATATCTCACTCTGATTCTTCTGTTTTGTTTTGTCTTGTCTTGTCTTGTTTGCGACAGGGTCTCACTATGCAGTTTAGGCTGTCCTTGAACTCACAATGATCCTCCTGCCTCAGCCTCCCGAGTGCTGGGATTACAGGTGTGCACTACCATGCCCAGCTTCTCGTCCTGCTTTTTCTTCTGGTACTACTGTTATTTTCACTCTTTTTCTCCATCTCTCTTTGTGTCTCTGTCTCTGTCTCTGTCTCTCTCTCCTTCTCTATCTCTCTCCCTCTCTCTCTCTTTTTCTCTCTGTCTCTCTCTTTCTCCTGTTCCTATCTCTGTTGCATTAGTCTTTACTTCTATCTCTCCGTGTCTCTATTTTTCTTTCTGCCTCTCTGTAAACACACACACATCACTGCCAAGCACCCTCCACTCACCCACCCCATCAGCAGAAAGTAGAACCCTCACCTGGGAGCAGGATTCCTGTCCACCAGCAGCTCCATAAGCCAGCCAAGCCCATGAGTCGTGGCACCTGGCCGCACTGTGCCAGGCCGTGCAGCCCCCGGGTTCCCCACGCAGACGCTGTCTCCACTCCAGCTGTAGCCCGGCTACCTCTCGCCTCTTCCCTCCCACCCTGCGGCAAACAGACACACTGGAGACAGCTAAGCGACGGGGTAGCGTCAGGGAAGGAACTTTGGCCTCACCTCTGCCCTCCGCCTCTGGGTCTCACTTTCATTTTCAAGCCAGCACAGAGAGAGGGCATTCCTAGATCCCCGAGAACCAGGAACTAATACTGTGATGCCGGCAGCAATGCTGAGAACAAAAGGAGTAATGGGCAGTGACCCGGCACTTCGTAAAACCATGCCAGGTGCCAAGCTCACCCTAAGCAGCCTACAAAAATACAGCGAGATCACAGCGTGCTTGATATGGATCCTGTGACAAGCAAAGGTGCCGGAGTCAGACAAGCAGGAGGACCCAACCTGGAGTACAGGAGGCCTGGAGGGCTCCCTGGAGGAGGGGACATCTGAGCCAAGACCTGGAGAGCATCGTAAAACCCCAGTATATGAGAGTTGTTGGTCAGAAAGGTGAGAAACACATTTACTAAGAAACCAGCTTTTCTGGCCCTCCAGCAAATCCTTGTCTTTCTTTCTTTTTCTTTTCTTTTTTTTTTTTTTTTTTGGTACCAGGAATCGAACTCACGACCTTGAGCTTGCCAGGCAGGCGCTGTGCCGCTGAGCTCTATCCCCAGCCTTCTCCGGCAAATCCTGTGTCCAGCCTTCAGATCCTTCTTCCAGGACCAGCACCACCTCCTACCCGGACCAGAGCAATGGCCTCCTCATTCACTGCTCCTGGCCTCCTGTTAACACCGAAGTCAGCTTATTTTCCTCCTCCTCCGCTCAGAAGTTTTCCAGGGCTCCTGTGTCACTCAAAGTAAAAGCCCCAGTCCCATAGTGGCCCCCACGACCCCACATGACTCCACCCCAACACTCTTTGCCCTCGCCACCCAGCCTTCTCCCATTCCCTTTGCTCCAGCCACACCATTCTCTCATGGGTTTGGAAACACTCAAGGCACAGTCCTGCCTCAGGGCCCTTGCACTTGCTTTTCTAGCTGCCCCAAGGTGCCCCCTCACTTACACTCTTGTTCAGATGGTACCTCCTCAGAGCATCCCTGGGACAAGGGCGCTCACCATCTCTGCACTGGGAGTTCCTGGCCCACACCTCGGGTGTATTTATTCCTCTCCAAAGCATCATCAGATGTGCTCTCTACTGCCCAGTGTTTGTCCCTTGACTGCTTCACACTAATATCAGCTCCATGAGGGCAGGGACTCCTGTCTGTTTAATTTTAATTTCCCACTGACTGCCCAAAGCCTTGAACAGTCTCTGGCACCCTATAGGTGTAAAAATTCTTTGAATGAATACATGACAACCTGCACCGGGCAGTTTATTGAATTCAAATTAACCGAGGGTTTCCCTCATGGGACCCAGGCAGGAAGAGAGGTTCAAGGAAGTGAGGTCACTTCCCAGCCGTGTGGCTCAAAGGGGAAGGACCAGGAGTCAGACCCACATCCAGTGCCCAAGCCCACGTTCTTCACCACTCCTCAGTGTCCCAAAGGCCCTTGCAGTCACTAATGATGTCATAACCCCTATGACCATCAACTCTTCAGTCCCCAACCCAAGGGAAGTTTCCGCCGAGTGACCGAACAGCACAAGTGGACAAATAATTTCAGGGGAGTTGAAACTCTTTTCAGAAAGCACAGTGGTTCAGACCCAGCCAGTTACCCCTGAGCTCCCCAAGTCCCCAGCCACCTCCAACAACTGCAGAGGTCGCTGGTTGCTAACAACCATGGCGTCCCAGGCGCCTTTGGTAATGTGTGATCCTGGATGAAAGCTGCAGATTCTCTCTGGGGAAACACGGACAAACATGGCTCGTTCTACCACGCCAGAGATCCTTGCCAAAGACATCCATGCCCAGATGCATCACTAAACTAGAAAATGAAAACAATCTGGGTGGGCATGGTGGTGCACACCTGTAACTCCAGCACTCTGGAAACTGAGGCAAGAGTGTCACCACAAGTTTGGGGTCAGCCTAGGCTCCGTGGTGAGACCCTGCCTCAAAAGCAACAATGAAGTCTTGAAAGCATACAGGAAAAAACAACTTTTTACAGGCAGGATCTCATTACGCAGTTCAGCTTGGCCTTGAACTCACTGTATAGTGCAGCCTGACTTCGAATTTACAGTCATCCTTCCTGCCCCAGCCTCCCAAGCACTAGGATTACAGGTACAACCATGCCCAACACCAATGTGTTTTTTATAGAGACACAATATGAGTGACCGCAGACATCTCATCAGAAATCACAAAGCCTGGCAGGAGGTGGCACAATCTATTTGGTTTTGTTTTGTTTTTTGTTTTTTTGAGACAGGGTCTCACTGTTAGTGTAAGCTGCCCCTGAACTCACTATGTAGCCCAGGCTGGCCTCAAACTTGTAGCAATCCACCTGCCTCAGCCTCAGTGCTGGGATTTTTTTAATGTGCTGAAAAAAAAAAAAAAGAACTATGGGCCCAGAATTCAGAAACTATTCTCTAGTAATGAAAGTAAAATAAAGTGGAAATTGTGGGTAGTGTGAATTAGCCTTGAATCTTTCTTACATTTCCCATGCATACAGTGCCTATGGCTTTGCCTATATAACATTGTCCAGTAGTATGTGTCCACCTGGTGCATTCAGAACTGGTCAGTATCCATTTCCATTGCATACCAAAAGGCAAATGCAATTTCACAGGGGCACGGTAGGTGGCACAGCAACCCAGGAGATAAGAGCCCTTTTCTATTTGAGCATTTGCCAACCAGCAGCTAAAGGGAAGCGAGAACAGCTTTGGGCTTTACTGTAGTCTGGAAAAAACTTACCTGAAACATTTTAAATTACAGAGAAAACTTTACAAGGAAGTGACAGGATACTCTGTCACTTGGAAAGTCCCATTTTTTCCCCCTTTTCCAGACTGATTTAATTCAAATACCAGGGAATCCCAATCAGCAAGAAAAAAATGTTTTTATAGAGTTCCCAGATTCACTTTGGGAAGATACAACTAGTTCAGTCCCGGGGAATTTGGGTCTTATAGATACCTCAGGATCATCGGGCATCCATGTGAGTTTTGGTAACTAAATTATTGGAAATTAAACATATATTGCAATTCCTCAACTAGGGAGAAGCTACAGGAAACGGTGATCCCTGCTTCCCAATGCTGGGACCTTATTTAATTCTCTCCCTTTGGGTGTGGATTGTATCAAATCACTCACATTTTTTGTTTTTGTTTTTGGGTTTTGGGGGGGTGGTTTTGGTTTCTGTTTTTGTTTTTGTTTTTTGAGAAAGAGTCTCGCTACGTAGCTCAGGCCAGCCTTGCACTCACAGCAATCCTCCTGCCTCAGCCTCCCAAGTGCAGGGATTACAGGCATGCGCCACAACGCCCGGCTCCAAATAACTCACTTCTAATGAATAAAATACAGCAGAAAATGGTAGATGCTCCTTCTGAAATTAAGTTGCAAAGATCATTGCTCCCATGTCAGATCTCTCTCCCACTCTCTCCTGAATCCTTCACCCTGGTAGAAGCTCCCTGCCAACACCCAACACTGTCAGAGAGACTGGGAAACAGGGAGCCCCATCCCCCCTATTCCACACTGAGCCTTCCGATGACACTGCAGCCCCAGCCCACAGCACTACCGCATCTGAGGGAAAGTGCGTTGGCTAAGCTAAGCCCAGATTCTTGATCCAAAGGAACTATCAGATCAAAACACCACTGTATTGTCTTACGTCACTAAATTCTGGAGTCATTCATTTTGCAGCAATAGATCAGTAATATAATGGGGCCCCTGGGGAAGGTGGAGAGGGTGTGCAGACTGGAACAAGAACCAAACTGAGACTGCGACATGGGCTTAGAAGCATAATCTCCATCACCTCAACGACAGCACATTCCCACCCTCCCGATGCGCCCTCCAATAAGTTGGCTAATACTGTATTTCATTTGCGTTTTTAAAACTTGTCTCCAGCCATGGCCCTCCTTTTGTGGAAAGGGAAAGAGAAGGGCTGTCACCTGTCCTGAGCTTCGTGTGACGCGTGGAATTTTGGAGGCGAGGTTGCAAACAAGACAAGCCAGAGAGGTGACCTGTGAAACTCACCCTGGCACAAAGCCTAGAAGCCGCGCTTCCAGCAACAACACCCGTGCTGACACGGCCGCTTACATTCACCACCACAAACTGCCCACCCCCACCCGGGAGGGACAGGGAGGGGATATGCGACCAACATTCTGCAAGGATGTGCTGATTTTCTCCAGTTTGCCAGCAGGTTTCCCCTTTTCTTTTTTGGTACCGGGAATCGAACTCAGGACCTTGTGCTTGCCAGGCAGGCACTTGTGCTGCTGAGCTAGATCCCCGGCCCCTGGTTCCCCCTTTTCATGAGCAATTTCCTCACCAGGAAAATCCACGTTCCAGGTGAGAATGGGGAGTCCTGGGGTGCGTGGCTGCTTTGTGATGGGGCCAGAGCTGTGCTGATGGTGACTGTTTTTCAACTTGCCTTGACAGATGGCCCTTGACTTAGGACTTCTCAACTTTCGGATGGTGTGAAAGCAACATGCATTTAGTAGAAGCCAGTCTTTGAGTTCAGAACTTTGCTCTTTTCCTGAGCTAGAGACAAGTGATGATCGGCGGTCAGCCACAGCATCGTGAGGGTCAGCGGTGGGTACTCTCACCACAGTGTGCTGTGCTGCCGGGCTGTGTGGTCCACAGGATGAAACAGTGGGGTGTTAATAAAGGCACACGGAGGAGGAAGCAGCAAAGTAGCCCTAGAGGAGCACTTTTAGGAGAGGTCAGAGGAGTGATCACCAGGAAGAAAAGAGAAGGCTAGGAAGATTTGGGGGTGCTTAGGATGGAGCAGGTGAACTTGGGTGTCAGTCAGACTCATGCATTTCAGAGCTATTAACTGAGCACCTACTACATGCCACATACTGTGCTGGGTGCCGGGAGGGTGCAACAGTGACCAAGACCAAGTGACTGCCCTCGGGAGCTGACACAGAGTGGGGAGACAGTCAGTGAGCGAGGCAGAGGAGCAAGTTATCAGCAGGCATCAGAGGACAGTCAGGGCTAGAGCAAAGAAGGCCGGGAAGGGACTGAGAAGTGTCAGGAGCAGCAGAGTTCGAGGAGAGGTTCTCTGAGGAGGAGGTGCTGAGCGGAGACCCGAGGGAGGGGTGAAGTTGCCAGAAGGCTTTGAGCAGAGAAGGGGAAAAAAGATAT